CCTTCCCTTCCCATTCTAGTTTCTTGAATATTTCCTCGAGGCAGGCTGTAAACAGCTTTGGTGAGATGGTGTCGCCCTGTCTAACGCCTTTTTTAATTGGTATTTTATCGGTTTCTGTGTGGAGTTTGATGGTTGCTGTCCCATCTTTGTATATATCTTCCAATATATTACAATATACCTCCTCAACTCCCTGTTGTTGAATAGCACCTAATACTGCTGGTATTTGTACAGAGTCAAATGCCTTTTCATAATCGATGAATGCCATACACAGGGGTTTCCTATATTCGTTTACTTTTTCTCTTATTTGGGTGAGCGTGTGGATGTGATCTGTTGTTGAGAATCCGCTGCGGAAGCCTGCCTGTTCTCTAGGCTGGCTGGAATCCAGACTGTCAGAGATGCGAGCTGTAATGACTTTCGTGAACAGTTTGTAAGTAACCGAAAGGAGGCTTATGGGTCGGTAATTTTTTAAATCCTTTTTATCGCCTTTTTTTGTGTAACAAGATAATTGTTGCATTTTTCCAGGCTTTCGGAGTTTTTCCGCTGAGAAGGCATTTGTTAAAAAGATTGGCTAGTTTCACTGTTGCGATGTCTCCTGCATCTAATATGAGGTCTATACTAATTCCGTCTTCGCCTGGTGTTTTCCCTCTCTTCATGCCTTTAAGTGCTCTTTTTATTTCTTCTTTTGTGATATTAGGTACGTCGCTAGTTACCGCGTTTGCTTCTATTTGTGGCTGTTCGTTTGAGTTGTATAGATCCCTGTAAAAGTCTTCCACTACTTTGATGATTTCATTCTTGTTATGTGTTACTTCTCCGTCTGGTTTCTGGCGCCTATTTGAAATTATGAAGTCAATTTCGTTTTTGACGTCAGAAGGCGACTTCCATGTCCACTTCCGTTCTAGTCTTTTTTCGAAGAATGTATTCATGATACTGAGTGATCGAGCCTCCGCAAATTCGACTAGCATTTGTCCCCTCTCGTTCCTAGTGCTTATTCCATGGTTCCCTACTGCGGTTTCGCCCTCTGTCTTTTTACCTATTTTGGCATTAAAATCCCCATAATTATTTGTGAAATGGGATTTTTTTCTCTCGCTGGCTAAGTGAACATCTTCATAGAAGCTCTCTATTTCTTCATCACTGTGGCTGCAGGTTGGAGCATAGACTTGAATAATTTTTAAGTTGTATATATAAATATATATATATATATATTATATAATATATTATATATATATATATCTGTATATCTGTGTGTGTGTATTTACATACATATGTATATGTATATATATACACACACACCAACACACACAACACACACACACACATATATATATAAATATATATATATATATATATATATATAATATTATATATATATATGTATATATATATATATATATATACATTACATTCATATATGTATATATATAATATAATATATATATATATATATATATATATATATATACATGCATACATATTATATGTGTATGTATATATATATATATATATATTATAATATATATATGTTGTGTGTGTGTGTGTGTGTGTGTGTGTGTGTGTGTGTGTGTGTGCATGTGTGTGTGTGTGTGTGTGTGTGTGTGTGTGTGTGTGTGTGTATGTATGTATGTATATACATATGCACACACACACACACACACACACACACATATATATATATAGACATATATATATATATATATATATATATAATAATATATATATTATATATATTAAATATATATATATATAATATATAATATATATATATATATATATATATGTATGTATATATATATTTAATATATGTATGCACACACACACACACACACACACACACACAACACACACACACACACACACACACACACACACACACACACACCACCACACCACACTCACACACCACACACACGCACACACTCACACAAACACACACACACAACACACACACACACACCACACACACACCACACACACACACACGCACGCACACACGCACACACACACACACACACGCACACACACACATGCACACACACACACACACACACCATATAATATATAATAGATAGATAGTAGATAGATAGATAGATAGATAGATAGATAGATAGATAGATAGATAGATAGATAGATCTAATGTGTGTATATATGTATATATATTTTTTTCTTTTTTCTTTTTTTTTTTACAAGCACCTATATGTATGAACATATATATCTTGCGTTTCAGCCTCAGCTCTTCTGGATCCTGTCCAACCGCCACCTGACAGGCAAGGACGTCTGCGGGATGATGTTCGTCGGCTTCGGCTGCGACACGGACAACCCGGAGCGGATCTGGGAGGTGACACTGCCGGACGCGCCCAAACCGCCGGTGACCGAGCCTGCGTTGCCGGAGGTAAAAGCAGAGAGAGAGAGAGAGAGAAGAGAGAGAGAGAGAGAGAGAGAGAGAGAGAGAGAGAAGAGAGGAGAGAGAGGAGAGTGTCAGGATTTGGTTTCCCCTGACTATGGTGGTGTATGGAGACACAATTCTGGTTTCTTCCTTTATTTGGTTGATGTGGCTGGTAGCATGGCATTGGCTGTCTTGTTAAAGGTGTCGGAGGCATGACCTACTCCACTGCTGTAGCAGTGAAGAGTAGGTTGCGAGTCACTAGCGCTGGGAACATGGCTAGCTAACCCGAAGCCGTGATTGGTTCCTCAGATCGCTTGGCATATGCTATTAACCGTCGTCCTCGACGGGATGATGCTGGCGTTCTCTGAAAGCACACCGAGGATAGAGACAGGAGGGCGAACAGTGGGGGGGGGGAAGGGTTGTGTGATAGCAAGGGCCGTAAGATGTAATCAAAATATTTCACATTGCAATGACAGTGTTAATGCAATCATTTGTATGAATTTTCAATTTTTATTTTTTCAATAATTCACTGTCCAATGATAGACAGAGGAGCATGCTAAGGGAGACAATTGCAATAGTCTGCGAGGACTTGCTTGAGAATTGCCTCAGATAGCAGGACATGAAAATCTACAAGAGATAAGCATTGTGCAGAACTACAAGAAAGCAAAAGGTGTCGCAGTCCGCAAGGACTATCTTCAACGACTAACTTCCTTTGGAAAAAATGAAAATGCAACAATGCAAAGTTCAGTAGTGTGCAGTGCAATAATGCATACAGTATACGTTTGACTAATAGTAAGTAAATGTTCTTTCTCATTTCATTGAGGTAAAGCTATAATGAAAATAGGTAATGCAGTCATCATAGCTTCGGGAGCGACTCATTACATCTGTAGGGGGAGGAGTCCCAGGACGGGCCGTAGGAGCGAGTGAGAGTGAATCTCGTGCTTCCTGTTTCGGCACAAATGAGTATATGAGGGTTCTAGTACTATGGGCAGGTTAGAAATAATTATGTGGTAGCGTAAGGCATCTAACCTGACCGAAGGAGAAGCCTGAAGACTTGTGTTGCATAATGACAAACTCGTTAAGCGAGAATAAAAATAGATGAATAAAAGAGAAGAAACAGCAGAGATAAAAAATACGACTGAACACGACAGAAGCTTTCTAGTGTCGATAGTCAAGCTTAGACTGTTCATTAAAGATAAAACCAAGTATTAAGCAAGCCACCATTAATAATTAACACAAATGAACAATGCATCTTAAGACAACAAATCACTGAAATGTCTTCAAGATAATTCATAGCCTGAGGTTCAGAGAGTTCACCAAACAAATCATGTTTCATAAAATGAGAAAAGTAAGCACGAGAGTCATTCATAAGTTCAGTAATCAATAGTTATGTTAGGTAAATGTATTTAGCTGAAGTGATCACTGATATGAATAAATAAAAGAAAGCACTGAAATTCCACAACAAAACTTCACTTCACTCTAAATTACTTTGCTTATTAGCGTGGTAAAAATGCAGCAAACCCACGCATTTCTATTAGTGAAATTTACTAAAGTGTGTATTAAGAGTAAGCAATTATGTTCTCTCAAACTTCAATAAGAGATAAAACATGATAAATAAAAGTAAAAGCCAGCTCATTCACAATTATTATTTTCAAGCCAATAAAACGATACACAGTAAAACCTCCACGAAAAAGAAATAGCAATCAAAATAACACACAAACAAACAATACCTTAAAATTGAAGAATCTCTGCTATATCCATTAGAGTAAAAAGAATAAAGTTCGTTAAAAACGTCGGCTTTCTGAAGGAAAGCCGAACGTATATCACAGAGCCAAAGAAAGTCGCAACTGATTTCTCAAGGGCGCTGACCCGACCCTTTATACCCATAAGGTCAGGCGCCAAGGTCAGTCCCCTCGAGTCTGCTCAACAAGACTCGTTATAGAGTCGTTAACATTTAATTTCATTATCTTTAAGATTGCTCATTTTCTTTAACTATAAAATCTGGAGGTAATCAATAAAACACAACATAAATCATATTCATAAAAGAAACGAAAAAAGAAAAACGCATACAGGAATTAAAACATAAAAGAAAAGTAAACTACGCCGACTAGCCAACAAGGCTTGGCGCCGAACATCCACTTGTTATCCTGTCGCCAGCTCCTCCGCGTAAATTCCAGCCAAACAAGCAGCTTCCTCTTCCTCAGTAACGATCGTAGTATCTCGTCCAGGGCGTCCACAATCGATCGTCAGCGCCTCCTGCAGGATCGCCTGCTGCGCCTGCTACGGCCTGGCGCCAGGGGTAGTTGGGGGTGTGGGGGTTTGGTGACGTCAGGTGTGTGCATACACGGGGGGCGAGAGCGGCAAGTAGGAGCGGAGGTGTCAGCTCACTACACATCAAATGTTTTCTCAAGACAACATATGCATGATAGAACGAAATGCAAGGCAAGACTACACGACTAGCGCAAGTCAATTATCTTCTCGGAAACAGTATGCATGTAATTCTTGTGGAATTAATGTGGTTTGTACGAGGAGAGACGATGTGCGTATGTGTAGCTGAGAGTGCTGAGAAGAGTTTAGTAAGTGAATGGGTGAGAGTTATGAAATCAAGTCAGACTATAGCACACATGTGTGCGAGCAACAGAAATAATTACTGACCTGACTGCATGAAAACATTCATACTAATAATAAACATGGTAATTGCAAGATTAATCAATTACTATGGGAGCTCATAAAATAGTACTTTAATTAGTACATAAAATGAATTAAATGGTGACAGGTCTGTTGCAGAACACACTAAGGCTTGCAGAGCAACGTATGATTCAAGCGGGTTGGGTCAGCTTCCCTTGGACAACTAACAGCTGTAAATGATATATACTTAAAATAAATTCCCTGAGGAAAAGTACTGAAGTACCCCACTGTAGAAAAGGTTATCATCTCGGAAACAGTTTGCATGTAATTCTTGTGGAATTAATACACAGAACGCAAATTGGGCATCCCATCTTGTTGGGATATACCAGCAATAATCTCATGTATAGTCTGTATAGTCATATAAGAAAGGGCACGGCGCAGAGTTAGATCACCTCTGGGCGATAAGTGTGCTTCGGCACATACAGGAGAACGTTTTACTTAACCCCTAATTACATGTCCATAACCCAGCTGGAGGCTCTTCATCAAGGACCATGTAATAATGGTGAAATGAGGTTTCGTGATTACGATTAGATAATAAGAAAATGTTTGAAAATCAAGTCAGCATACTAACGATAATCGTAAGTAAGGAAAGAAATAGAAAATCGTTAGGATGACCGAGGTAATTTCACACCTAGTGATGACTCATAAAGGCGAAAATCACAAACTATATGAAGTCGTAGTAGCTGATATAATATGATTAAAAATAGATATGCAAATAGCTGGAATGTAATTTAAGTTGGGCAGAGTTAGATGGTAGGAGAAGGGACCTTCTACTTGAGTAAGGTTATGCGAGGTTATTATCCGAATTTCGTTTAAAATAGAGGAAGAGCTAGTAGATATAAAATTAATAAATGTGTAAAAAAATAAGTACACAGTTATTGAAGAATTGATCAAATTACCAATGAATTGAATAAAGAATTTTCCATACATGAATAATTAAGAAAAAAATATATCTATAGAGAAGACGAATGATTATGGCGATATGTACTTCAGAATGAGCACAAATATACTACAACAATAATGTAAAATTACACGATTTAATTCAATGAATTATGCTAATATTATTACAGCACCTAGACATATACATGCAAACCTGAAGCAAATTCATCACTCTATTGCAAATAAGTCGATAGCGAAAAGGAACAAAATGTTAAATCTCGTTATCAAAATCACAATATTATACATAAACTGAAATGTGGAAAAAAAAATCGAGGCTAACACAGGTAAAAAAAAAAAAAAAAAAAAAAAAAAAAGGTAAAAGATTGTTATCATTTGACAAGACCTGACCTGACTTGACCTGAACAACCATGTGTGAAGCGGACCACACTGAAAACGATTATAAAAGTTTTATACATAATAAAAACTCAAGTTGGTATCAATAAAAACACACGTAAAACAAGGCGCACTTTGCTTGTAAAAAATTATATATACGATAAAAATTTCAAGCATTCAAAATGCAAATTAATATAATATCAGATAATTTAACCCAAGGATTTATAAAAAAAAAATTCAGTCAAAATATGGTCATTATAGCAAGGGTGGGTCAGAAAAAAATTATATCAACCAAATTCAACATTTTGTGTAAAAGATATATATTAAATAAACATCATGACATAAAAACATTAAAACACTAGTGGCCTGAACAGATATATTGAAAATAGGTAGAGAGGGAAGGGAAATATCGGGAGGGGGATTAGGAGAGAGTTAGGTAGGGGACGAGGGAAGTGGGAAATTGTGAGAAAGTGGTAAAATGTTTGTTTGTGCATAATTCCAGTAGTTTATTTAACTATTCAACAATATCCCACAAATGCATAATCAAACCGAGCCGAAAAAAATGCACTTCATAACAATAGACGAAATTAACATCGATATACCTTCGGTTAATACAATGGGGAAATAATTACAATATGAAAAGATGCCAAGGATATGGCAATACTTTATAACTCTAGCCACGTGGCCTAGAATGCAAGCTATAGTTCACCCACATATTAAAATATCAAAAGAAATAGGCAACGAATCTATTCTTTAATTCTAGTATGATCAAGTTTGATGGAAAAAAGAAAGAAAGAAAGAAAAAGAAATACATGCCAAAGAAATAGCTCTCACGAGTGAAAAAATTAGGGACTTATTCCCTAAAAAAACAACAATCTACCATGACGAAAAAACATGGTAGATAGCAGAAAAAAAGAAAAGAAAATGCACTTTGCATGGATACGCTTAGATATTTGAAAAAAAAAATCTCTGTACTTGAAAAAAAAGTAGTAAGACATGCACACATGGGAGAAGAAAAAGGAAAGAAAAGAAATGCCCATGGCGTACTTACAATTTTTCGGATAGAGGTGATGATCGAGCGGATGCATTTTAGAGGAGGCCTAGAGTTCGTGTCGCTAAAGCGACATCCGCCGTTTGCCACCAGTTTGTCAGGGTTTGGT